GTACCACTTCGACAAACCTATTATAAATAAGATATCTTAATATATTTTATATATTTAAATTTGTCTCAGGTCAACCCAAGGGTTTTACCCACAAACCCGAAATGGAATCGATTTAATTTGGGTTCAAAAAAATGAACCCAACCTTATTCAAAATACTAATCCAACCCAACCCAACTCTTGTAGTTCGGGTTGGGTTGGTCCGGGTTGTCGGGTTGAATGTACACCCCTACTCACAAATTTATCACTTTGCTTTTTGACCCCCGTTTTATTTATTTATTCTTTCCTACCATCAGGTCCTTTTGGGTTAAAAATTTTAAAATTTACAAGTTTCATGGAACGATCCGATTTTTTACGTATGTATCGAAGTCGAAGTCGTTACTTAAAAGCTAGTAATTTTATAATTTCAAACATTTGGAAGGACTAAAAAAAAAAAACATATATAAATGACTAATTACAAGTAAAAGGCACCCTCGTGCTCGGTTGTTGTTGCTACCGTTGTTTCCCACCCGAAGGCTATACGGTGTTCTATAGTCGATCGCAATCATAGCTGTGACAAAGAGAGAGGCCTTTAATAAGTTCATCAACATTCATGACATATTCCTTTCTTTGTACGAAAATCAAGTGACTGTCGTGCCAGATGTCGACCGTTAGCTGGTATTGTTCTATTAGAGTTTTCCTTTTCGGGCTTCTTTTTAAAATGTATTTATTAGGAAGAGGTTTCTACACCCTTATAAAGAATGTTTCGTTCCTCTCTTCCATCGGCGTGCAATTTCACAATCCACCCTCATTCAGGGCCCAGCATCCTCGTTAGCATTCGTTCTTCTTTCCAACCGACATAGGATCTCACAATCTACCTCATTCATGGCCTAGTATCATCGTTAGCACTCGTTCCCTTCTCCAATCGATGTGGGGTCTCACAATTCACCCTCCTCTGGGCCCAGCATCCTCGCTAGCACTAATTCCTCTCTCTAATCGATGTGGGGTCTCACAATTCACCCTCCTTCGAACCCAACGTCTTCCCTAACACTTGTTCTTCTCTCCAATCGATGTGGGATCTCACAATCCACCTCCTTTCGAGACAACCATCCTCGCAAGCACTCGTTCCTCTCTCTAATCTATGTAGGATCTCACAAAGAATTTGGGATCAAACCGTCAATTTTTAAGACATTATGAATCAAATGTATTTTAAAACCTGATCTAGCTAGCATCTCGAAAACACGAATCTTTGATTTCATCAGAAGAGACGTCTCAAAAGCCTATTTGAGTTTACGTATCGAAGAAATTCCGCTAAAAAAAATGCAAAAATAATTTGTTCCCAATGAAAAATGGACCATCACTTTTACCCCTTTACTATGGTACCAATGGAGAAAAATAGGCCACCTATTCTAATCTATACGTGTTTTTAGGCTTTTCATTGCTACACAAATATTGTTGTGGTGTAAAAAGATTTGGTATTTATTGGTCGGTCGAAATTATTTGATCTAAGTCTCTTTCTTATGAATACTCTACGAAAATAGGGTTAATTCAATATTGTGAAGACAACCTAAATGACGATCGTTTCGTTTAGATGATTCATTTTCCAATCTCGACTTTTGTCGATAGAGTAAACTGGTCTTGTGATAGGTTGATTTAAAAAAATCGTACCTCTCGTCATTGTCGTTTTTTGTGAAAACAAAAATATTTATATGATGTCCCACATTGGTTGAGGAGGAGAACAAAACGCATTTTATAAGAGAGTGGAAACCTTCCCCTAGCAGACCTTGAGGGAAAGTCCGAAAGTCTTCTCAAGGGAAAGCCCAAAGAAGACAATATTTGCTAATCTATTAGAGATAGACATCGAACGATACGATATGTCATCCTTCTCGCTCTTCTCCGAAGACACGAGGCGGTGTCCTAGTAAGGACGTTGGCCCCAAAGGGGATGGATTTGGTGGCGGTCCCACATCTATTGGAGAAAGGAACTAGTGCCAGCGAGGATGTTGGGCCTCGAAGGAGGTGGATTGTGATGTCTTCTCGCTGTTCTTCGAAGGGGGATAGACACAAGGCGGTGTCCTAGTAAGGACGTTGGCCCCAAAGGAGATGGATTTGGTGGCAGTCCCACATCAATTAGAGCCAAAGGGGATGGATTTTGTGGCGGTCCTACATCAATTAGAGAAAGGAACTAGTGCCAACGAGGATGTTGGGCCCCGAATGAGATGGATTGTGATGTCCCACATTGATGAGGTGAATTTGGTAGCGGTCCCACCTCAATTGGAGAAAGTAACAAGTGTCGGGTATGAATCTGAATTACAATTTATTGATCAATTTGTAAAATTAAAAAAAAAAAAACCCTTATTGGGATAAAATTTTCAATAAATATAGAATGAACCAATTCTATACGTTTTCTTCTAATCTTTTACATTATTTGATTGCAAAATCCCTTTTGTCAAATGCTTATCTTATGAGATCCTAAGAAGATTTCTTTGTTTGATTTATATATCTTATGGAGATATTTTAAGTTATTTACTCCGCCAACACCGGTTATGATAGACACGAAAATCTATTTAAATTAACGACGAACGATTTTTTTTTAAATAGCACCCTTAAAGCCACACAACTCTTGCATGCTCCAGTTATCGAACATCCATTAACAATTCATCCTAAAGACAAAGGATAGTTAACGCGTGTCGACGTTTGGGACGAGTCGAGACTGCACGTGGATTGTCAAGGCGGCTTGGATACTCACCTAGGGCTCAGCTCGTTGGAATCTATGCCCTAAAACTCGTAGTTTTTGTAATTGAATAGTTGACAAGGGCTTAGGATCTCTCAGTGTCGTATCGACTTAGAAACTCCTCATTTGAATTTGCAAGTGAACTTAATACGAAAAACCCTAAATATCTTTTAACTTCGAGTTTGAGACAAGCGTAGGTCCCTCAGAATATCCCGTTCGAAAATATATTATATTGAATAAAAATAACACATTAAAAAAGAAAAAAAAAAGTATATGGAATGAAGTATTATAATAAGTTGACTTTATTGTATAGCAGCATCACATAAATATAACATAAATATAAATTATAGGAATGTATGAAATTAATTATTCTATTTCAATTAGGACATTATTGAAATAAAGCATAAATTTATTATATATTATGAATAAATTCCAATAAATACAATTAATCATAATTATTAATTATTTTTTTAATCTTGATTACTTTCATTAATAAAAAAAATTAGAGATTTAAATCTTCATTTTCTTGTTAAATTTTTTAAAATACAAATAAAAATAAATTGGAAGTGAATATTTTCTATTAAATTAAAAGTCCAATCCTTAAAATAAAATATTGTGGAGCTTTTAATTTTTTTTAATATATTTCTAAACTTACCAATTCAATAATATAAAAAATTTTATTATAATTTTTTAAAATTTTAGTGACCGAATAGACAAAATATATATATATATATATATATATATTTTGAACTTACCAATTAATAATATAAAAAATATACACCAAATTTAAAATTTACTAATTTACCGGTAAATTAATTTTTTTTTCTAAAATCAAACGAATTTCAAATCATAAAATTAACCAAAATATTTAAAATTAAAAATATGGGAAGCAAATGAAAATATTGTAATTCATGGGGACAACAATGAAATTATATTTAATTATAAGGACTAACTTGCAATTTCTCATAAATTCCATTTATTGGTCCTCCCTCACTCATGAAGTGTGACAGCTATTGAAGTCATTACCTTTGCATTATTCTCATTGTCATCATTATTCATACAAATTTTTATTTTCAACCAAATAAAATTAATTTTTTTCTAAAGAAAATAATAAATAATTTTAATTTTAATTTTATTGTATTAATTTCGACTCTAACCCTTTTAACTTTATTAAATTGAATTCAAAACTTAAATATTACATTTTAACTAATTTTTCACTAATTTCAAAATTAAATAAGTAAAAAAAAAAAATTTAAATATGATAATTTTTTTTAAAAAACTATTATAAATTTTTACCAAGTAGTCAAATTCTTTCCACCAATTAAAATAACGGTAACTTTTTCGAACACTTCCTATAATTAAAAACATGCTAATTATATTAATTATTATTAAATACATATTTCAATTTTTTTCTTATATATTTGCAATTAATTTCTAAATTTATTATATTTATTGATATTAAATTAGATTTAAATTTTAGTAACAAATAATTTTATTAATAATTTTTAATTCAAGACAAATTAATTGTAAATTGGTTATAATTTCCATGAGCAATTGATTTTTATTATTTTATTATAAATAAAAATAAAATAAAATAAAATAAAGAATGTTAGTTCATGAAGTGTCTTTCTCATGCTTCTAATGTGGAGTTTCTTTTGTTCATGTGTCTCAATCTTCAAAATATTTTCATTAAACTTATATTTCAATTTTTTTAACTTTAAATTTAAAATTTTCCTCTCTCAAAATAATTAAAATAAGCTAAAATGCCAATGATTATTGTCCCTATTGATTTATATATTTAATTTTTTTAAAAAAAAGTATTAATTTTCATAATTTTAAATTTTATGTCTAATAAATCTCTAAAGTCCAATGATTTATACCTAAAAATTAATTTTTTTGATATGATATAACTGTTGGATGAAAATGATTATGTATAGAAAACAATATGATTATGATAGATTGATAAAACGATACAGTTAGATACGTTCTTGTAATGGTATGACTAGGATACGTCCATGAATCGAATAATTAAGGTATGTTCATAAAATGATACGAACTATGAGATGATACCATAAAGTTATGACAAGTTTAAAAAACGATATAACAAAAGAATGATCATGTATTTATAATAAAGGGAGTTTGTAAGCAAAACCACTGGCATTTATATGTATACCCTTTCTCCTTCTCTCTGAGTCTGCAACAAAATTTGGACAGTTCTGGTGTCACTATCGGCTCATCCTCGTAATATAAATCCCCTTTTTCTAAAGAGTTCCATAGAACAATCCAAAGAACAACGCTCCAATTCTCAAAAATTTCTTCAATATCACAAAAGAAAAAGAAAAAGAAAAAGAAATAAATAAACGAAGCATTTGGATGTTCTAACGTGCCTGCATATTCCCTTCCTTGTCCGTTTCTCTATATATAAATTTCCAATGTTTTTTTCTCTGAACCCTATTTTTTTTTGTTTTTTTTTTTGTTGAAGAAAAAGGTCATTTGGAAGAAGCAATGTCAACATAGCTGGCTGGTGGGGACTCTAAGCCCCACAAAATGCTACTCCTGCTTCGAATCTCTCTTTCTTTTCTTTCTTCTTTTTTGTTTGTTGTTCTTTTGTTCTCTCCTTCTCTCCTCTGTTCTTCGATGTTCTTGTTTATTTAGAAATCTTCTGGAAAATGGGTAATGATTTGTGTGATTTGATTATTCTTTTTTGATTTTGATTTTGGGTTTCTGGGGTTGAATTTTGTTTCCTGTTTTTGAAGAAGCTCTGTGATATATGAACACAGCCAAGATGCTCTGTATACGACACAGCAAAATGAACCCACCTATTTCTTTCAACTTGCAGTACCAGACAACACTGTTTTGCTGCTTTACAGCCCACACATTGCATTACTTGATATATATCGAGTTTTAATTCCTCTAGTTTCATTTCATTTTTTCCCCTTTTGCTCTTTCCCTCTCCCCTTCTCTTTAGATTATCACTTTTTTGTTGTTGTTGTTGTTCTTGATCATCGATCGGTTTTCTTCCTTCGATTTTAGTTTGGCCACATGGGTATTGTTCATCTGATTGAATCGTTCAAATGGTAGGAGGGTTTTCGATCATTTTCTTATTGTTCTTTCGCTGAATCAGGATTTGGGGTTTTGGGTTGAATCTACATTATTACTCTTTTGTTGTTCTTGATATTATTCGAGTTTTGGCGACATGGGTTTTGTTCATCTGATTGTTTCGTTAAAAGGGTTGGCGAGATTTTGATCTGATTTTGTTCGTCTGATTGTTCTTCGTGGGTTTGTATTGATTTTTCCTTTTGCAATAAAACTCTGAGTTGTTGTTGTCGGCGCAAGGTCACTTTCTGTCCGCATTGTCTGTATCCAATGATGCATTTGGTATTAATTTAACCAAAAAGTACCCTCCCACTGTTTCTTTCTGCTGCTGTTTAGCCGATTTCGTGTTCTTCTTCTTCTTCTTCTTCATACAATTTTAACTTCAGCAGCATTTGCTGGAAGTGATGATCGGACTCCATTTTTTGTGATTTTTGAGCTCTAAGAACATTCTTCATTGCTTTTGGAATGTGGGTTGAATTTCATCGTCTTTACTCATTTACTGGAAGGAGAAGAGTTCTGCAATTGCTGATTGTTAAATGATGCTACGCTTTCAAAAGATCTGCATCGTTCTCTATAGTTTCTTCACAATTTCAGGTTTGAAGTTCAAGATGATGTATGTTTGTTTTCAATCTGTTCTTCTTCTTGTTCTTGCTGAATTTAGATGTTCATTAGGAAAAGATGAAGATCTATAGATTCAGCTTCATTCTTGTAGTTGACTGTAAGATTTTCTTCCATATCAATCACTTTCGGGTATGCGCCGTGCACCCGGTTTGGTTTGTGATCTGAAAATTCAGGGATGGGATTTAGAATTGTTCAACTTGTTTGGGTTGTTACAAATGGTACTAGAGCTAGATACTGGGCGTTGTGCTAGCGTCCTAGCGAGGACGCTGGGCTCCTAAGGGATGGATTGTGAGATCCTACATTGGTTGGAGAGGGGAACGAAACATTGCTTATAAGGGTGTGGAAACCTATCCTTAGTAGATGCTTTTTAAAAACCTTGAGAGAAACCATGAAAGGGAAAACTCAAAGAGAACGATATCTGTTAGCGGTGGGTTTGAGCGGTTACAAATGATATTAGAGTCAGACACTGGGTGGTGAGTCAGTGAGGATGCTGGGTCCCCAAGGGGGTGGATTGTGAGATCCCACATTGGTTGTAGAGGGAAACGAGGGTGTGGAAACCTCTCCCAAAGAGGACAATATCTGCTAGCGGTGAGTTTTAACTGTTATAAATGGTATCAGAGCCAGACACCGGGCAGTGAGTCAGCGAGGACGTTGGGTCCCCAAGGGGATTGGATTGTGAGATCCCACATCGGTTGGAGAAGGGAACGAAGCATTGCTTATAAAGGTGTGGAAACCTCTTCTTAGTAGAAGCGTTTTAAAAACCTTGAGGAAAAGCCTGAAAGAGAAAACTCAAAGAGAACGATATTTGCTAGCGGTGGGTTTGAGCTGTTATAAATGGTATTAGAGCCAGACACTGGGTCCCCAAGGGGGTGGATTGTGAGATCCCACATCGGTTCGAGAGGGGAACGAGGGTGTGGAAACCTCTCCCTAGTACACGTGTTTTAAAAACTTTGAAGGAAAGCTTGAAAGAGAAAACCCATAGAGGACAATATCTGCTAGCGGTGGGTTTGAGCTATTACAAATGGTATCAGAGCTAGACACCGGGCAGTGAGTCAGTGAGGACGTTGGGTCCCCAAGGGGGATGGATTGTGAGATCCCACATTGGTTGGAGAGGAGAACGAAACATTGCTTATAAGGGTGTGGAAACCTCTTCCTAATAGACGCGTTTTAAAAACCTTGAGGGAAAACCCAAAGAGGATAATATCTGCTAGCGGTGGGTTTGAGCTATTACAAATGGTCTCAGAGCTAGGCACCGGTGCTGGGTCCCCAAGGGGGGTGGATTGGTGGGTTTGAGCTATTACAAATGGTCTCAGAGCTAGGCACCGGTGCTGGGTCCCCAAGGGGGGTGGATTGTGAGATCCCACATCGGTTGGAAAAAGGAACGAAGCATTCCTTATAAGGGTGTGGAACCTCTTCCTAGTAGACGCGTTTTAAAACCTTATAAGGGTGTGGAACCTCTTCCTTGTAGCCCGAAAGGGAAAGCCCAAAGAGGACAATATCTAGTAGTGGTGGGTTTGGGCTGTTACATTAACACATTGTTCTATATTCCCCAATATGATTGTTGTAATTTTCCTTTTCATTTGTGTTTCAGATTCAATGTATAATAGTGTGTATAGTAGTTGTTATACTGTAAAAAAGCATCAACGGTGAAGGGAAGAACCCACATGAGATGTCAAGGGTCCTTGCAGCAGTATTAGGAGGTTCTGCAGGAGCCGTGGCATTGGTGGGATTGACTATTATACTTATAAGATTCTTAGCACGCTCAAGAAACGCTGCAAGAACTTCCGAGACGGGCTCTTCGGATCCTTCTGTTCAAGGTATTCTCTTCGTCTTCGTCGCCCGAGTTATCCATTAGCATATGCATTTTGTTTTTCAAAAGGATGATCATCAGTTGGTTGTGTTTTTCATTACTTGTAGTTGGAAGGCATGTTGGTATTGAATTGTCTCTACGAGATGCTCGACATTTCGAGATGGCGGAGTTGGCTATAGCCACTAATGATTTCAGCGAAAAGAATTTGATCGGAGAAGGGAAATTTGGGGAGGTCTATAAGGGCATGCTTCATGATGGAATGTTCGTCGCTATCAAAAAACGACATGGAGAGTCGAGTCAGGATTTTGTAGATGAGGTAATATTCATTTATTGTCTTGTAAGCCTTCGACATTGATATATTTCCAACTTGAACGTGCATAATTTGAGCACGAATGGAAATGGAATTGCATACCACTCTCCTGTATTGATTAGTGCTAAACCAAGAGTTTATCTGAGATCCCACATTGGTTGGAGAGGGGAACGTTGTGTTCCTTATAAGGATGTGAAAATTTCTCCCTAGTAGATGTGTTTTAAAACCTTGAGGGGAAGCTCAAAAGGGAAAGCCCAAAGAGGACTATATCTGCCAACAGTGAGCTTGGACTGTTACAAATGGTATTAGAGTCAGGCACTGAGTGGTGTACCAACGAGGACGTTGGGCCGCCAAGGATGATGGATTGTGAGATCCCATATTGGAGTCAGGCACTGAGTGGTGTACCAACGAGGACGTTGGGCCGCCAAGGATGGTGGATTGTGAGATCCCATATTGGTTGGAGAGGGGAACGAAACATTCCTTATAAGGATGTGGAAACCTCTCCCTGTTAGACGCGTTTTAAAACCTCAAAGGGGAAGCCCAGAAGGGAAAACCCAAAAAAGACACCGAGTGGTGTGCCAACGAGAACGTTGGGTCTCCAAGGAGGTGGGCGGCGTGCCAACGAGGACGTTGGTCCTCCAAGGGGGTGGATTATGAGATCCCACATTGGTTGGAGAGGGGAACAAAATATTCGTTATAAATATTCGTTATAAGAATGTGGAGGTGGGTGGCGTGCCAACGAGGACGTTGGGTCTCCAAGGAGGTGGACGGCGTGCCAACGAGGACGTTGGACCTCCAAGGGGGTGGATTATGAGATCCCACATTGGTTGGAGAGGGGAACAAAATATTCGTTATAAGAATGTGGAAACCTCTCCCTGGTAGACGCGTTTTAAAATCTTGAGGGGAATCCCAAAAGGAAAAACCCAAAAAAGATAATATCTGCCGGCGGTGGGCTTGGGCTGTTACAAATGGTATTAGAGCCAGACACCGGGCTGTGTGCCAACGAGGACATTGGGCCTCCAAGGGGGTGGATTGTGAGATCCTACATTGGTTGGAGAGGGGAACAAAGCATTCCTTATAAGGGTATGGAAACTTCTCCCTAGTAGACGTGTTTTAAAAATCTCGAGGGGAAACCTATAAGGGAAATTCCAAAAAAGACAATATTTGCTAGCGGTGGGCTTGAGTTGTTACAAATGGTATTAGAGCTAGACACCAGGTAGTATGCTAACAAGGATGTTGGGCTCCAAAGGGGATGGGTGATATCTCACATTGGTTGGAAAGGGGAACGAAACATTCCTTTTAAGGGTGTGAAAACCTCTCTCTAATAGACGTGTTTTAAAAACTTTGAGGGGAAGCCCAAAAGGGAAAGCCCAAGGAGGACAATGTCTACTCGCGGTGGGCTTAAGCTATTACAGTTTCAGTGGTACATTCTCCCGTACAATTCATGTTTTAATCTAATTTAGTTCATTTACTATCAGGTACACTACCTCTCGTCTATTCGGCATCGAAATCTCGTAACTCTTTTGGGCTACTGCCAGGAAAACAGCTTACAGTTCCTCATCTTTGATTATATACCTAATGGGAGCGTTTCTAGCCACATATATGGTAACGGTTCATACATGTAAAAGCGTTATTTCTCGAAAGTCACTCCAAACTCACTCTTAAAGAGCACCGTTTTTGCAGGCACCGAGCAGCGTTCAGCTGAGAGGCTCGAGTTCAAGATCAGACTCTCAATAGCTCTGGGGGCAGCTAAAGGTGAACCTCTGCAAACAGTGAGCATTTATTTGCATCTCTTCTAGATTGACTAACCATCAAATATATCAATGGTGAAACCAAATTCTTATCTACGAATGCTTTCGACAAACTCGTCCCTCGGTAACGTGACCTGATTATCATACCTAGGTCTGGCACATCTTCACTCCATAAGCCCTCGTTTGATACACAAAAACTTCAAGACGTCCAACGTTCTTGTCGACGAGAATTTTATAGCTAAAGTGGCAGATGCAGGACTTCACAATGTCATGGGAAGATCTGACATTTCAGAATCGTCGTCTCGAGAAGCAGCGGATGAGATATTCCTCGCTCCCGAGTATTGATTCTAAAACTTTCTACCTTTTTCCATCAACACTACACGTTTTATTCTATTGTATGATTGTTCATCTTCCATCCTCTTTTGTAGGGTAAAGGAGTTTCGACAATTTTCTGAGAAAAGTGACGTATATAGTTTTGGCGTATTCCTTTTCGAGTTGATAAGCGGTCAAAAAGCTACCGATGTGCCCGTTTCCGATCCAAATTATACTCTGGTTGATTGGGTAAGTAGATTTCTCTACCCCATTACTCATAGTCAAAGCTTCATTTTATACTGGCTGATCATGTCTTGCTCAAAATTATCTCGGTACCGATCGTACCGTATCAGAGACATTGTTTATGTAACTTTGATACATGATTTACTTTTCTCGATACGAATCCCGTCTCGAGGTTAATGAAAGCAATACCAGAGTAATTCACATAGGTCTAGTATCTGACATTTTTTTCGACTTTTTCGTTTATTGGATTCTGAAACCGTGTCCCGTTCCATGCCTATTTGAAAGATACAAAACAAACAGGAAACTAGCGATATTGCTAGCTTTATAGATCCGAGATTGGGGAAGAGCTTCACCGAGGAAGGTATGACTGAAGTGATGAATTTGATACTTCAATGCGTCGGATCTTCAAGCGAGAGGCGCCCAGGGATGAGCTATGTGGTGATGGAGCTTGAAAGGATACTAGAGAAAGAGGTGAACTTGACAACAGTGATGGGAGAAGGAAGCCCAACTGTTACCCTTGGGAGTCAGTTGTTCAAAGCCACGAAGTGAAATTCTAGAAGCTTTAGCTCGAATACCGACATCAGCTCTCTTGCAGACCTGAAAACCGAGAGAGAAACGGAAAACACGGGCTTGGTCGATAGCCAAAAAGTGTGGTATATGTGTAATAAGGTTCTTTTTAGTTCTTTAATTTTTTTAAGAGTAAGAGACCTCAGCTGTTGTAAGTGTAAAAAAAAGAAACAGCTGAATCATTCTTTTTAATATTAACTGATTATTGTTGATTGTTCATATGAAAGTGAACTGAGATTGGTGTGCTGTTCGAGAATCCGACCAATCCAATCAAACCCGACAGCGTTGGGGGTCGGGTAAGCATTTTTCTCGATATGGGTTCGTGGGTTGTTATTTTTTTTTATTTGATTCAGTTCAAACTAAATTTGTTTCACTAAAAACCCTAAGAGTTTGCTGCTCACCCTGAATCGCGCCTGTCTCTTTATTTTCGTTGAATGCATATGGCCGACCTCTCATCTCTCAAACCTCTACTCTCTCGTCACCATCATATCTTCTATAAGCTTCATCCTAGCGTTGAATGAGTATCATAGGTTATCATCGTCAGACGAACACGACTCTATACAATGATATGATATTGTCCACTTTGAGCATACAGTCTCATGACTTTGCTTTGTATTTCTCCAAAAGCCTCATACCAGTGTAGTGAGTAATCTTTGAATATAAACTCATGATCATTCCTTAATGCTTTGTACTTCTCCAAAAAGCCTCATACCAGTGTAGTGAGTATTCTTTGAATATAAACCCATGATCATTCCCTAAATTAGTCGATGTGGGACTTTCATCATCCAACACCTTCCCTCGAACAAAGTACGCCTCCCATTAATTGAAGCTCGACTTCTTTGGAGACATAGTCATTTATTACTGCCTTCGAGGAGGCTTGACTCCTTTTCTTTTGAAGTCATTTGTTCGACATTTGAGGATTTACTAATCTATTGGCACGACTAAGTTTATGGTATGACTCTGATACCATGTTAGACGAACACGACTCTCCACAAATGGTACGATATTGTCCACTTTGAGCATAAGTTCTCATGGTTTTGCTTTGGGCTTCCCAAAAAGCCCCATACTAACGGAAAGAGTATTCCCTAAATTAACCGATTGATTTGAGATGTATATTAGTACCTACAAAATCGTCCAAATATATAGAAATATTGTTTTAACCCAACCCAATTCAATTCTTTCGAGTATCTAACCTGATAGGTTAAGAAAAATCACCTCAACCCAAATCAACTCGTGTATTTCCTTTCCGTTCGGTGTTTTTGGCACTTCTAGTTTATGAACGGTTTTTTATTTCTACTTTATTTTCATTTGCGAGCTCTTTTTTATTGGTTCATTGGACTCGCTTTTTGTTGGGCTTGTTTCTTTGCTTATTTTGCTTTCGATTCGGTTTGCAGATTGATATTTCTTTTAGTCGGGTTAACTCGACCAACACAAAAATATTATTACAACCTAATCCTTAACTTATTTTAAGATAAATAATATTTTACGTTTGTAGTTAATGTTAGTGATGTGATGCGAGTCGTAAATACTTAACATTTAGACTTTATTTATTGAGGTAACATGTATTGTAAACAAGTATGATTTTTTAAAAAATAATTAAAAAATAGAACAGCCGGATGACACAATCTAACCCATCCCTGGCAGATGCGTTTTAAAATTGTGAGGCTAACGACATTACGTGATGAGTCAAAACAGACAATATTGTTAGCGGTGGACTTTACTATTACAAATTGTATCAAAGTCAGACATCGGACGGTGTGCCCACGAGAACGCTAGATCTCCAAAAATGTTGATTGTGAGATCACACATCGGTTGGAAAAAGAACGACTAACATAACAGACCAAAACGTTTAGAAGTTGAAATTTTTTATGAAATCACTTCAAAAAAAGTGAAAATTGGAAATCTTTTTGAAATCATCATTAAAAAAAAAAAACAAAAATTAAAGATTGACCATTATTATTATTATTATTATTTTTTGTGTTAATTTTTTTTTTTTTTACCGTTTTTATTCTCTTTATAAATTTCAAATTTTCACTCAAAATTATTTGACAAAAAGCATGGAAAAATAGGATTCCATGTTTACCTTTTCCCTTTTTATTTATTTATTTATTTATTAGATTTTTTTATTCTTGGAAAATCATCTTTGCTTGAATTAAGTAATTTCACTTTTTTATCTTTCCACCTTTGCATCATTTCATGGATGTTTTTTTTTATAATTATTTTTTAAAAAAAATTGTTAGATTTAATTGAAATTTTATATAATAAACTGTTCCTACTCGAACAAACACAGATTTCGAGTAGAAACAGTTTAAAATTCAGATTTCGAGACTTAATGATCCCAGTATTCCTTTGCATCTCTTGTGATATGGTCATGTTATTTTGTTTTCACAAACTAACACGGTTCTTTCAGCATATTTTGTCATTGCTAATAAAATTTTTTATTTTTATAACATTTTTAATGTAAATTATGGACAAAATATGATGGTAAATTAACCTCTCTAATTTCTATAATTTGTTAGTTAAGATTTGATTGATAGGTTACCTAATGGGGAAATTATTAAATCAAAAGCACCAAATTTGAACCTAATCATTTCCCTCTCCCTTAATTTTATTTATTTATTTATTTTTACTTTTTTAATAAATTAAAAATGATGAGTTGTTTTTATATAGTAAAAAAAAAATGGTCATTAATGTGAATATAATATAAATAATAAATAATAAAATATTTGTTATTTTTGAAACAATTCTAAAGTTTCATGGTTAAAATAATTGCCTATTTTGGACAATTTAGAATTTTATATTAAAATTTTAAAAACTTAAATCATAAAAAAAAAACTCTAAAAAAATATTTAAATATATATTTGAAATAAAATAATAATTTTAAATGCAACAAAAGATATAATGAAGCAATGATTGAAAAAGAATTGCTTTTTTTTTTAATAAAAAAAAAAAGGGTAAATAGGTGAGTTGGAATTGTCAAATCAGGAGGATTCATGTATTTTTGATTGCTGAAATGATTTAATAAATGGCACAGAAAATATCAATTTTAATTAATAATAATAATAATAATTCAAACAAATAAATAAAATATAATTCCAAAAGGACGCCAGTCCAGTCACTGACAATTGACAGACATTCAGCTCGATTCCTGCCTCGTAGTTCGTTGATGTGATGTTCCCAATGTCCAAGGGTGTTCTTGTAATTTCACATCTCTCATAAATTATTAAAAATTATTTTAAAAAATGTCCAAATATCATCTTCTTTCCAATTCTATATAGTTTAGATTGCTATGTTTAAAATTATTTAAATTTGACATGACTAATCGATCTTGTTTGTGGAGTGATTCAAATTTCAAATAACATAACCAATTTTCCGCTATGTTTAATATAAATATATTTTCTAACACACAAATATACAATTTTTGCTTATATTAAAAAAATTAGTTAATTTTGAGACTTTAATGGTAATATTTAAATTAAATGGTAGATTATTTTTAATTGTTATCCTATGTTGTATTATTAAAATTTTAAAATTTTTAAAAATAATGTTGTAATATATATTGATTTGTTGATAAAATAATTATTTTAGTAAAGAATAATAAAAGGAAAAAAATTATTTGCAGTAATCCCGATCTTGATTTATTAAAAAATAAATTAAAAATTGAGCAGGATGAGAAATGAAATAAGTGGTGGGAATAGCGCTTCTCTTACTCGGCCCGATGAACATCTCTAATTTGATCATTGAGCTTGTAAATATTAAAAATTTATATTATTGTCTTTCAATTTTTAAAAAAATAATAATTAACTTGAATTTCCAAAATGATTATTTAATGTTTCTATCGACTAAAATAAAAATTTTAATTTCCATATAAATATTTTTAAGAACTATTTTTAATTTCCCAAACTTCAAGCACAAAGATTCTTTTGTAGGCTTGGTTGGGAAGTGGGTTTGAGATTTATTGGGGAGCTTTTATTTTATTATATTAAAATAACATTCTTCATTTTTTTTAATTAATTTTTTTAATTTAAATCCAATATTACATCGACTCTCCAATAAACTAAGATTACGTTCGAATCAGAGTGATTATAAAGATATATCGGACGACTTTGTATAAGTTGAATTTCCTGCCATAATAATCGTGAATATCTTAGGAATTGCCACAAGAGATATTTACGTTTTAGTATAATAAATGAGATACGATTAGAGATGTCCATTTAACGTGTGGAGTCAGTTTACCCCAAGTGGGCTAGAAAAATTTTATTTAAATAAGTACGGAAAATGAGTGAAAATAAATTTTTCTCTATTAGCTAAACGGGACCCGAGACAGGAATTTTATTCCTCGTCTTCATTTCGTGCTTGAAATTTGAGGTTTTAGAAATTATGTTGAACATTAAAAAAAATATATATTTGAAATTAATATTTTATTAAAAATATATAAAAAGTTGAAAAATACGATAATTACTCGAAAAATCCTTCCTTTAATCCATGTTTCGGTACGATGCAAACAGAGTTATCACACGATAATTACTCGACACCCAATGTGAATTTGCAAGCATTTTCAGCCTCTCAAAACCTCACCAAACTTTGAAGGTTATATCTCAACTATGACCTGAAATTATACCTTTTAATTTCTTTTATTCTCTCAATTAAATTTTGTTTTTGTCTTTTTAATAATATTTTAGTAATATTTTCTCTAAATTGGAAAAAAATAATAATTTATTAGTAATTTTTATTATTTATTTATTTTTCATTGTAATTATCCATTTCCGATTCATAAAAGAAGACAAATCTTCTCTTTTTATAGTTTTTTTTTTTTAAAAAAAGGTAAAAAATAAAAATAATATTAAATTATGAGAAGAAATATAATATTCTGAAATTTATTATTAAAAAAATCCAAATTCTGACAATGCTTTATTTTGGAAATTAATTAAACTCCTTTAAATATAGAATCGTTTCCCAAAAAAGTAAATATTGTTTTAAAATCAAATTCCACTAAAATATATTTTTATTAAAAAAAATATATAAATAAATTAATTTATTAGTTTATGTTTTGAAGTATTATAATTTAACGATTTGTTAAGTAATATGTTATTGGTCGTCTCTTAATCGTCGTTGTTGTAATTCCTTTACTCGATACTAAATGCACTAGGTGGAAGCCGAAATTCACACATCGTTTATAATTCTTATTGATTTAACCGAAAGAAATTAAAATTTATTGGTGTAAATTGATATTTTTCTCGAAGAAAAACAAGAATTAAGGGTGTTAAAAAAAAAAACAATGACCTGACAAATCCGATCAACCCAATTCAA